ATTAAAGTCTTCTGTGACAGGTATGAAAGTCCAAAGCCATTTAAGTAGATGGATGCATTTGTAGGTTTGCCAGAGAATGTCTTAATTTGTCTTGGCTGGCCCTCCACCAAATTTTTCTTCCTCCTCTATTAAAAACAGGAAATTCAGTAAGTTCCTGATGTATTTGTGCTGTAAAGGGTGAGGAAGGGAAAATTACCTGTTTAGGGACTTTGTAGAAGTCTCTTCTAAATGAGACTTGCTTTTGTCCGATGAATTTCTTTGGTATTTTATTCAAATTACACTACTCACCTCGAAACAAAAGAAAAATTGTTATCTCCAAAGGAAGGAGACTTAAATTATTGTATTAGAATAGAGCAAGACCAATTAACAGCTGTCAGAGGCTGCTTAGGACTTGGGAACGTGTTAATTATTAATTATTATAAATCCTGTCTTTGGTTGCTAATCCAAGTTGAGATTCTTGTGGAAAACACTCCAAAGTGCTTTTAACTCACAAGGCACAAGAATACAGGTTATATTAGCCATATAAATATAGACAATTAGCCATTTGTTAGCTAGACCGCATAAGCTGTGCCTGCTTTCATGTGGCAAATATGAAGACCTGCAATGCAAGAGTGTTCCCTAAAGTGGTGTTACTTGATGTGTGAGATAAACTAAGAATATATCTTGGCTAATAAAAATTCAGCAGTCCTGAACTACCTGACTGTTACTAAGCTTCCTCACAAGTAGTTTTGTGGTATTTAAATAATTGAGACTTCTCTTTCCTGTAACAGTCTTCATCAGGACATCCAAATGAACAAGGAGCATGGGTACATTTGAACTGTGCTTCACATTTAATCAAAGTATTGTTTGATTTGTGACAAAAGTTGTTTTTAAAGAAATCCTCAGAGTCCACTCTTTCAAAATCTTTAGAGGGACTTAGCAGGAAGAGATCAAGAAAAAATAGTTATTTGAGGAGAATTACATGATAATGTCCCTTAAAACAAGACTTTTTTGGGAAAAATGCTGTATAGTGTTTGCTGTGTTATTTGAATTTCCAGTATAGTTTTGGTATTCATAAAGTATGTTTTTAATACAATTTTGCACTTTTTTTTTTTTTTTTTTTTTTTTTTTTTTTTTTTTTTTTTTTTTTTTTTTTTTTTTTTTTTTTTTTTTTTTTTTTTTTTTGTTTGTTTGTTTTTTTTTGTCCAAGTAGCAGGTATTTACTTTATCTACTTTATGTTGCTTTAATTCTGTAGTAGCTGGGATGTCTCATGTTTACAGTGGCCTATATCTTGCAGTAATATCTGCTGAAACAAAGCTGTAATTAAGGCATGCTTTTTTAATCCTCTGGATCTTTTTTTTTTTTCCCCATAAAAGGTTAACAGATGCTATAAATTAAGCCTTATTTTGGTACACTCAGTGTTAAAAATCCCATTCTAGAGTTACTTTTTAAAAACTTTTTGTTAGCTTCAGCAAAAAATTGTGTTGTTAACTGAAACTTGTTAATCCTTCTTTTGGGACAGTCTTGGGTTTTCCAACTCTGTCCAAATATTGTGCCAGTCCAACTTGATCTGTTATGTAACTAGGACAAAATGAGACAATCCTCAGTAAAGCAGTAGGTTGTCTTGCTTGTTTAAATAGATACTACACAGCTGATATGTGGAGTTAAAGCTTTTTTTTTCCTTCTGGGGGACATCAATTGAACACATAATCCATGTCTTCATGGAAAATAATTGTAAAGTTAAGAGTTCTTATTTGTGATACTCAAATGTGTATTGCTGTGGTTTAAGCAGATATATATGGATTTTCCAAAGTATGAAGGTAAAATAAGGACAGTATCCCCTGTATGCTTCTACTGCCTTAACTCTCAGTTGAATGCTTCTGCTACTTTAAAAATAAATATAAAAAATCTGATCAGCAAAAACTTTGTCCTATTTCTTTTCTACAAATGTAATTTCAAAAGTTCAAGATGTTGCAAAAAAAAAAAAAAGTAATCTTTAAATACTTAGTCATAAAATTAGTCATAAAAACTCAAAATATTATTCCAATGGATAATGCCAGCCAAGGATGTTGTTACTGTTTTTACTGGTCAAATGAGATCTCTGTTCTCTGGGAACCTTTAATCTGAAAATAATGCTTGATGGATCACTAGAGAAGGGTGAGGAAAAAAAATGAATCTCTTGGATATCTAGTATCAGCTGTGGACTTGGTGTATCCAGGACTCCTCTTGGCTCTTTTAAATAATGAGACTTTTGCTTTGAGCAATCAGTATTAGGACAGGTATTTGTGCTATTAATGGGGCACAGTAGGGAATGGTTACTATTGTGAGCTCTGCTGAAGCATGGGATGCTGCAAAAGCCCTTGTCCACCTTCATAGGGCTGGTAGGTTGTGGGATTCTGTAGGAACTGGCAAGGTGGTTACTTCACTAATTGTAGTAATAGGACTAGTCTTTGTTAGCACATGTATTATCCTTAAAATACTGGATAAATAATAAATAATCCTCACTTCACCACAGGGACTCGCATGTAACCTATGCTGAGCCTCCAGAGGCTGCTCCTCTGTATCAGGACTGTTAGTGCTGATCAGAAAGACTTAGTATTTAGCTAAATTAGTATACATGGTAGTTCTTCCCATTTCTTTGTTGATACAGGATGACAGAATGGATGAGATGTAAATGGATCTTTGGTGATCATGAAGTCCAGCCTCCTTTCCTCAAAGTAGTGAAAATTGGAGCAGGTGTCTGGCTGCTCAAGGTCTTACCAAACCGGGTTTTCAGTGTCTCTGCTTGGAGACTCCTCAGCCACTCTGTCATTTAAGGCAATTTTCTGTGCTCTGACACCCAGGGTTCCTGGGTGCTGCTCTTTGTGGTAACAACAGAAGTAAAGGTGACAGTGAATACCTTGGCCTTTTCTGTATCTTCTCTCAGCAGATCCCCTGCTGATTTGGTCATGGAGCCTTAGTTTTCCTGTTGCTACTGCTGCTATTTTTGCAAAAGCCCATGAACCATTCTAGAACATTCTTGATCTTCCTTCTTGCTTTGATCCTCCTTACTGGGATCCTGTGATCTACTTTGTCATGGACATTGCAGCTGTGTCTGCCCTGACCATGACATCCCTAGCCAGTTTTTCCATGTTTGTAGTTTACCATGTTTAGCAGAGGGCCTGCCTTTGGCTCCTCAGTCCCCTGTTTCAGGAAGTAGTAATCAATGCACTGGTTCCCAGTTCTGTTTCCCCTCCAAGAGATAAGAGGGTAGTTCATGGTCCATGTGAGGACTAGGTGCCTGTAAACCTTCTGCTTATGTGAGGAGGGATTCCTGTGTTTTGTGTTGCTCAGGTGATTAGTAGCCAACACCTGCAATAATGTCACCCATGTTGTTCTGCCTCTCATCTGTGACCCATAAGCTCCCAGCTGTCTCATTGTCCACAGCAGGGCTGAACTCCATGTCTCTCTGCTGCTCTCCCAAATAAATGGCAGCTTTCCTCCCCTGCAATCCTTGAAGAGCCCATACCCAGCCAGGGCAGTGGTCCGGTCTCTGAAAATTAAATGCTTACGCTTCCTTGGCGCTTCCCTGTTGTCCTTTCATCCTCCGAAGGCAGTGTTTTGTAAGCTTTGTGCACACCTGCATGTCTTTCTAGGGTTGTGTGAGAATATTGCCACAGCTGGTTCCCTGGGATTTCACCTGTCCCAGTCCATTATTTAATGATCATGGAAGTGAGGCGAGGGGGCACAGAAGTCTCCGGTTGCCTTATGTTATTATTGTGTACTCAAAATGATTCTGAAAATGAGATTGCTGGACAGGCTGTTCAATTTTATTCTTTTTGCCATTCATGTCTGAATAGTAATTTCCTTGCAACCTTGTCTGTGCATTGAAATATCTTGGTCACTACCTAAAGCCTTATTTAAGTTTGGGATTTCCCCACTCCCCTTGCTTTGGAGGGTTATAATGAGCTCCTGCTAATATACTTTGTTCTTTTCCTGTCAGGCTTCTTAAAATATACTGTATATAGTACAGTAGTATATGATCTTCTACAGTCTGAATTACAGAATAAAAGACTCGTATTTGTGTTATAAAAGGCAATTCTTACCTACTATCTTTTTCCTTGTCTTTTCCTGTACAAACCTATACTTGGATATCAGTACTTCAAAACTAATTTTAAACTGGCAAAGTAAAACTTGATGGGATATCTCCCATGACTGAACATTTCACCAAGATGGTGTTAATTTTCCCCTCAGATGAGTATTTAATTTTGTTACTGGTTGAAATCCATGGACACAGTTTGGATAAGCTAACAGCATGCTCTTTTAACTTCTAGTAGTTTTATATCTTAATGATATATTGGTCTTTTCTGTCAGAATAAGCTGCTTCAAGGGACAGTTGTTTTTAAGTGGTTTCTCAAAATTGAAGAGAAATCGGAGATTAATTTCAGTAGCCATTCTGCATCTCCTGTGTTAAAGTCCTATTGCTGATGACCTCTCTCCATCTGAGGCTGGGCAGTATGTTGGGCTGGGGAGTCTCTTAGGCTCCATGCAAAGGCAGCAGGCTCATTGTCTTGCAGTTGCCATGGTGGGGGAGGACTGAAAGGTTTTCCATCCGCCTTTATTTCAGTGACCTTTTCCAAGCTGGGAATAGCAGTTGACTTGGAAAAACCTAAACAGTCATTTCTCTTCAGTGAGTCCATACAGTTTCCTCTCGAGTCTTGTAAGCTGAAAAATAAATTGAAATTGAGGAGGTAATATTTTCTGTTTTCAGAATGCCATTTCTGAAAATCTTTAACTTACTTCCCACGCAATACATAGTTGGAATTTATTAAACTGCACTAAGTGAAGACTTCTGTGCTTAATGCTTCCAGCAGTGTGCATAAGTGAGGTACAATAAAAGTTCAAAGTAATGTCAGCATGTAAAATGGTAACAAGTAAAAGCATGATAAGATTCTTTAAATATTCACAGAGGCTTAATTTTCATCATTGACTTAATGCAGTGACTGGAGTATTCACAAACTGTGTTTGCTTATTCTTTCAGGCTGAAGGTTTTGAAGCAGATGTTGGAAGATGTTAGCTGTGGATACTGGGGTTGTGGAGGAGTGGTTATCAGAGTTCAAGGTAATACACTCTCTGATATTTAGCCAGAAGTGTTTGAATCACTGCTGGTGAAGTATGCAGAGTGCTTGCATCCTGTAGAGAAAAGAAAGATAGTAACCTTGGATTTAGCTGAGATCATATGATAAATACAAATGTCTGCTTGAAAGGAATTTTTTCTTTGCCTCTTTGGGGCTACATACTTCCTGACAGAGGGCAGTGAAAATGTATATCATAGATGAATGATTTTATTGGTTTGAGTACCAGATATGACTGTAGGTTTTGCTCCTGGTCTGCTTAGATACACTGGAAATATGTTTTCCTGTCTGTAGAGTGGAGTCCTTTGAAGGATTGGAGATAAGAATTACTGTAAGACTTAGGTACATTTAAGTGTACATCTTCTGAAAGAATTGTTAAAAACATTCGATTTTTACCTTCTTAAGTAGTGGCAGAAAATACATTTAGTTTTAGAGAAGAGCTGGAATTTGCATTAACTGGAATTTGTGTTTTTCCATAGTAATACTGTATCTGGTAATAATGTTCACTTACCTGTGTGTGTTGGGAGTTCTTGAGAACTCCTTGAAGTATGCATCTGAACCAGACTGTAAAAGTTTCATGGGACTGACATCTCACAATGAAATTTCAGTGGTGGTTGCATTTTTATAACTTTTTTTAAATCAATTTCACATCCACTGTTGTTACATTCCGTATGAAATTGCTAAGTGATAGAGTGCAGTGTGTCTTCTGGCAAGGATCTGAAAATGTGAGGATTTCTTTGTGAAACAAGGTTTAGTTTATAGTACTCTCTGATAAATAGTGACTTGTAATGGAAAATTGTTTGTTGAAATAGCTGTTACAGTTTAATGATAGAAATTGCTTATAATATTTTTTATTTCAGACACTGCCAGAAGCATCCATATCCAGCTATGCTACCAGCCTGAAAGACAAGACAGCTTTGATTTCATCTCTTTACAAAGTAATTCAGGAGCCACAGTGTGAAGTGAGTATTTTGGATCCCTCATCCAAAATGTCTGTCAATAACACTGGCAGAATGAAACCAAGACCTTGCATGCTAGGTAATTGATGACAAGTCTCCTTCAAAAAGTTTGTTCTTAGCAATGATGTACTATCATGGAAAAAATATTGCAAGTTTTGTAACCTGATCATAGTTAAGCTTGTAGGTGATATTCATGGGTTTCAGGGCTTGGATATAGAATTCAGAAATGCATTAAGGAATTGAAAAGATGTTTCTGTTTGATAGAATTCTTTCTGTAATTATCACTTGAATGTGAATGTCTTGGTGTCTGAAGCTTATTTATTACAATGCAAGAGAACAAAATTAGGTTAGCCATCCTTTTAAAATGGTTTCTTAGGTTTTAGGTTTTTTGTTGTTTGAGATGCATGTGATAAAAATACATGGATTTATACAGTGGATGTACTCTTACTGAAATGAGGGCAAAATATGAAAAAACTGTGGGGAAGAGGGGCAGGTTTCCTAGTATCTGTACTGAGAAGGTTCTGTTTCCCATGACTGCCCTTGTTTTAAAATGTCCAGGTGTTCAGAACATCCTGGTCTGGATTTAATTGTGTGTTGTTAACTGCCTTGTAACATCCAGAAATCCTTTTGTGCATTATTTTAATATTGTGCCAAATCCTTAATTCATCTGAAAAGACCCAGAAATAAGGCATCTTCCCAAAGTTTGAGATTATGCCAGTACTAAAGGTCAGAGGATAAAATGCTTTCAGTGTATATGCTTTTAGAGAGAATGCTGATAGTGAAACTCCCAGCTTGTCCAGCAAAGAAAAATGTAATTTTAATTTGCTGCTCAGAAAGGCATTCTGAGTCATTTCAGCTACTGAGTCAAGCCTGTCTGGTCTTCAGAATTTGTATCAAAATGTAAATTAATCTGATGAGTCTCCCTGTTGATAGCCTAATTAATACTTTCATAAGTTCTTTGATTTCTTACTACTTCTGACTATCACTAGGTTTCTCAGGAGCCTTAGTAGCAGTGTGCTGCTGCAACTTCTGGTTGAAAAGGTTGTTGGGATAATTTCAGATTTTCCTGTTAGTGGGACTTAGGATTGAAATGAAAAGCTAGTGCTGACACTGAATGTTGTGCTGCCTTGAGGAAAAATAATTTTTGGACTGTTCTCCAAGTAGCTGTTGCTTTGTGGGAGAGGCTACTTGGAGCTTTCACATTGTAAAAATAATTACAAACCAGCAGTTAAATAGAAAATTAATATCTTTTAGCTGCTGTTTGAGATCTGTTAGAAGCATTGTGTAATGTCAGCTTGCTGTACTGTGGAGGGTATGTGCTGTCTGCTCTTATGGGTGTAATGCAAAGGCGAAGGATTTGCATGAACACTACAAATACTGCAGAGTTTAAAAATGGATAAACAACCCCATCTGTAGACCTTTGACTATATGTACTTCTAATAATTATCAGTACTGTAAATTTGTGATTAATCTTGTTTTGCAGGATGGATATGGGGTTTTTTTAAGCATTTGAAAAGTGATCATGGGTATTGGGATGTGTAACTGCATTTTCCTGCTGATTTATGTTTGCTTTTTATATGGATTGTTTTCATTTACTTTAAAAAAAAAAAAAAGATAAATTTTTAAGATAAATGGACTACTTGTTTAACATCCACTTCATAGTAGCTGTATTAGTAAAGACTTTTAATTACTTTTGAGGTTCCTGGGCCACTTGCTAGATGAAAAATGAAGTTCAGTGAGAGTCCAGAAGATGTGTAGATTTAAAGGACTTAAAATTCACTAAAGTCTTTCAGCAGTCAAAAATAATTGAATAAATATGTGATGGATTTTTTTTTAAAGGTTGAATGCTTTTACTTAAAACACTCTTGCTGCCTTTCTAGATAGGAGCCAAACAGACACATGCATTAGGAAATAGCAAGTGTTTGGAGTGTCTGACACACTTGGGTGCAGCTTAAAAGAAAGAGGGATGAAATTGCTTGGACACTCTTCTATTCCAGCATGAAAAAATGTCTCAATCTAGTTCTTTCTTTAGTTCAAAACGATATCTTGAAACAGGCACAGTCATTACTGCTTTTTGATATTAGGTTGTAGCATGTGGTGGCATTTTGAGGAAGAAAATCTGGTTTTGTACTGATGATGCATTTAAATGTGCTGATACAAAGCTGTCTCAAGTGAGATAACGATGTAGACATGGATACCTGTCACAGCTATTTATGGGCCTTTTAAAGTTCAAGCGCATCATTCAGAATTGATAATTCATTACGGGAAGGATGTGAATTGTGTGAAAATATAAACTGAATATGGAACACAATTCTGCTGGTAAGGTTTTCTAGAAGGATCTTTGCTGTCTTGCTCTTAAAACTGATTATTAGTTTAGCTTTGTGTGGCTTTTTTGCTTTTGTGGTAGATTTTTTCAGGAATAATTTTCCAAAGTGAAGCTTTTATCTCTCAGAAGCTAAAGTTCCTCTTTTTAGAATGGATCAGATTGTCCCAGATTACTTCTTTAAAAAGAACTCAAATCTGCTAAGATCTTTCTGTTTCAGAAGTAACTTTGGGAAGTAAGAAAATGTTGACTTTTTTTTCATGTTCAGGAGGAAAAGATTAGGAAAGCAAGCACGTATATTTCTAGTATGGTCTCCCTGGTGATTTCACCTCATTTGGTTCAATAAAGGGATGAATATGGAATTTGCTTTCTTATTTTTCTGAGAACTTAGTCTACTACAACTAAAGTTGTGATCTAGACAAATAGCAGAACTGAACTTAATAGTTCAGCTGCCTTTGAAAGTGCCTGCTCTTTTTGACAATATTTTCTAATTGGAGAAAATTAGGAAATCTGATTTCCATACATTGACAGGTGGTGGTTAACACAATGTTTCATCCTTATATCAGAGGTAGGTGGTAGCACAAGAAGGCACATTAAATCCAGGAACACAGGCAGGCTGATAGCTTTATTGTTTTAAAATCTTTTTTAAACTTGATCTAGCTTAGTGTATTACTTCCAGTTCAGTGTTTTACATCCATTTATATCAGCTTAACAAATTTGATTCTAAAATTACTCTTGAGGCTTCCCATTTCTGTCTCAAGTGTATAAATACATTGAAGCTTCTAGAAGATAATGAGGGTGGGAAAATAAACTAATTCTATTGTGTATTAGGTTTTTGTAATACTTGGAATTTAAGTGTTACACAACTCTTCTCACTAGGTGAGTAAAGCTTCTAGATTAATTTTGTGTATGCTATTGGAGTTGTAGAATAACAAGACCTTTTGTTCAGGTACTTTGCCTGTATATTAAAGATATTGAGAGGTATGAGGTATGTGATAACTCTCTATTTTTTGCCTTTGAAGCTGGAGGAAGGGAGCTAAAAACAAGGCAAAGCAGCCATTGGAATTTTTTTATTCATGTAGGATGAATGGCTCTACTTTTATCATCCAGAAGTATGTTACGGGCGTGAACGTGTGTAGGATGACTTGAGCAGTCACTGTATCAGTCATGCCCTGATAACTAAAATGTCATTTTTATCAGTTTAAAGTTTTGGCTACAGGGTTGATCCAGACAAAGTTGCAGATTTTTGTAATGTTTTATTCTTTCATGATTGTAACTTGTATTTCAGCTTTTGGAGCCAGTTTGCCACCAGCTCTTTGAGTTCTACCGCAGTGGTGAGGAACAATTGCTACGGTTTACGCTGCAGTTCCTGCCAGAATTGATGTGGTGCTATCTTGCTGTCTCAGCCAACAGAGATTTGCAGAGCAGTGGATGCATAGAGGCTCTTCTCCTAGGAGTTTATAACTTGGTTTGTATTTCAACATTTTGTTTTCGAATTAAAATGAAGTGATTATTTCAGTCGCAACTCTTCAAATCAGTGTCTGTCAAAAATCTACAACATGAACTTTGATTCTTTGGTCAATATTTTCTCTGCCCTTTATGTGGTTCTTGAATATTTTGTTACTTATTTCTTGGTATTAAACTCATATTTCTTGGCAATCACCATTTCTTGGTGATTAAATCACATTAAATCTTGGTGATTAAACTCACATTCTGCTTGAGAACTTTTTGAAGCACTGCTTTTGAAATTGTTGCCTGTATTTTGACTATTTGGACTAAAACCACAAAAAAATTACTTTCAACTCATCCTTGACTGCTGAACAGCTTGCTTAGCTTTGAGAAATTAAATGTGTCCATTTTGAAATAACCGTGATGTTTTAAAAATACTTTTTATGAAAATATTCACTTTGTTGCTATATCTATGCTTTGAATTACAGAATTAATAAGGAACCCTTAAAAGCACCATATTTTAGTCTTTTTATGGCTATTTTGAAATACTTAGTGTTTTATTATGTCTCTTGGGATTCTTGTCTGTGTAGTTTGTTCTGGTTGTTTTAGGAAGGCTTTTTGTGAAGCAAAATATTGATGAATTTCAACTCTCTTCATCTGAAAATCTGGAGAAGGCAGTTGCTATCCATCTCCTAGAAATAATCATAGGTATCTTCACCAAGCAAGTGGAAATGTCTTTTTTACCCAGGAGTCTGATTTAAAAGACCTGAGCCCTAATGTTCCACTCCTCTTGAGGCAGAGTACTAGCTTGCTTCCATTTCCGTATGCTTAGTTGTATCTGACAAGATGAACATTCCTGAAAAGCATTTGGTCTTATCTTACACCTTAAGGCAATTCACTCCTTTATATCCATGATGAAGTAATTTAAGTTGGTTCATGGATGTGGCTGTAATCACTTGTTTTTCTCCCAGAAGAGATCACATTTACAGTTAAGCTTGAAACCAGTCTGGTAACATCCTCTCTTAGCTGAGAACAGTTTCTTTCTCAATTAGTAACTTGGCTTTCCATCTCCAGCTGCCTGGGGTCATAAGAATTTCACAGCAAGCTTCTCTAGGAAGCTGTAGATCAGCATGACTTTTGGGAACTTTTTCTCTGTTTTTTCTTAAGACATGAGCAATGCTTATGGCAAAACAGTGCCACGGTACTCACTGACTTCTTCCCTGCTGTTGGTGTTGCATAAAATTTATAACTGGAACAATCAAGATGGTATTGTTCTTTAGTATATAGGTTGAAAAGGTAATAGGTGACCTGCTTAGATACTTATTTTATCTTTAACTAACTACTTTGTTTTCAAAACCAAGAGGAAATATGAAGCCTAATATAAAAGTAATTCCTATGTGAAGATGTACAGTGGACTCTTGGAAACTTGATGTGTTCAGACGGAGTCCTGCAGTTTCTTACTGAAGGAAAATGAAAAATACTGCTCAGAATAATTTTAAATGGTCTACATGGTGAGGTGTGTGGAATTATTGTGGCTGAACCTTGAGATCATGGACTGGATTGTTCTACCTTCAGCTTAGGGATGTGCAGTGGTAGTGCGTGCAGTTGAAATTTTTTGCTTTCCTAGCTGTAGTTATCCAGGTTTTTTTAAATACAGTTCATACACTTTAATACACATCATACACTACAAATGCATCCTGAAATGTACTCCTGAAACTTAATTACAAATCTGATTTTAGAATTTAGAAGTTTGAATGTAGCCATTTTCTTTCCCTTTCTCCTATATATTGAGGAACATGTTTTCCACATTGATCCAGGAGCAATATTAAAAATTAAAGTATCAGTGGTTTATGTGGAGAGTGGAGGAGCTGTGCAGCTTTTCAGAAGGATCAGCTCTGTGTGCCCTTTTGATCCTTTTCACTTTTCCTTTACCTCTTCATATTTTATTTTAAGACAGGAATCTTAATAATTACTGTGTGAAGTTAGTCCTTCAGCCTTCTAACACATGGGTGTTAGGAGACACTGAAACTTCTCTCTGATTATCACTTCTGGATATATGAAATCAGCTGCTGAAATTTAGAAAAGAGAAAAGTAAAATCCAGTGTGTGGTGTTTGTTTTGTTCAAGTCTGCTTTGGTTCTTTAAAATTTTTTTATTTGAAATACTCTAGTGCTCTTCTGTGGTACAAAACCACATCTTGTTTTGCCTTTATCCATTAGTCTTCTGTTAACTTAGAGGAGCAAGAAGTCTGCCAGCTACTGCTGTGGTGGTATCTTTCAGGAAAGCAGCTTCTCTAAAGCTTTGCATGCATACTTCTTTTAATTCCATAGAGTGATTTATCAGACTTGGACTTTTGCAAATGTCGTGATCTGCTGCTGTCAAGACATAAGAGGCTGCAGTCTTTCCAGAGCTGTAATATTTCCAGAACAAATTACTTGTTGAGTGCTTACTTGATGGCTAATAGTTTTCGGAACAGAATTATTGATCGTTCACAATTAGCAAATTGTGTATAATTAAAAAAAGATGATGCTGTTTTAAACATGATGTTTCCTCTTAGTGTTTTTAATGTGGGTTATATATGCAAATGGATGTGCCCTTGGCTAAGTTATTTGAAGAGTTTTCATAAACAAACAAAATGCGTAGTGATAAAAAGCAAATAGATAATTTCTAGCTTGCAGCTTGGATTGTTATAGTATCCCTATCAGTCTCTATAATAAATAGTATTTAACACCTTAGGATGTTTTCTGTAGTACAGTGTAACCATTGATATCTTCTGTCTTTTTCAGGAGATAATTGACAAAGAGGGACATAACAAAGTGCTGAGTTTCACAATTCCATCTTTGTCCAAACCTTCTGTCTATCATGAAGTAAGTGATGCCTACGAAGTGAAATTCCTGATTGAGAAGGGCAGCATTACCATAATTGTGAGGGGTCTTGGCCAATCAAATATCTCCCAAGCCTGTAGGCATCTCACTGGCCAGAACCTGAAGAGCTGTGGAGTTCAAACAAATGAGAGCATCGATGGGGTCTAACAAATGCCCTGTATGCTGTGGGGGCCTGTTTATTAAGAGCAAAAGTGAAAAGCAGTTTTAACATGTTGTGTTCAGAGATTTCTGAATACTACTAACTGGTCTCTGAGGTCTTTTCAAAGTGGAATAGTCATAAATGCATAATACCCATGCAGCAACTATGTATTTTTTTTTTTATTTTCTGAAGCCATATGCCTTATTTGGTGTAAAATGAACAGATAACATCTGAACTGTCAGATAGCATTAAGCCTGTTGAAAATTCGTATTTATGTATGGTGATGCTTATTGTTGGCCATTTTCACTTGCATTATAGCAAGATTTGAGGTGGACGTGCTCTGAATGACCCTTTTTTCCTCCAGCCTTCCAGCATTGGCTCCATGGCTCTCACTGAAGGAGCTTTGTCGCAGCATGGTTTGTCCAGGGTTGTGTACAGTGGACCTCACCCTCAGAGGGAGATGCTGACAGCCCAGAACAGGTAAAATTGTATCATGGGATTTTGCTTGAGAGTCTCTAATGGATCTGAGCTTCTAATTTTTAGTATAGTTGCAGACTGAAGGACGATAGGTGTATGTTGTGTTTTGTCATGTGTCTTTTTTTTGTTTCTAAACATGTGTAAATGTAGATGGAGAAAGATCAGTAGGCCTTATTACTGCATGTAAGGGAAAAGCTTACGCAGTTGTTGATTAAATTGAAATATAATGCCAGATCTGCTCAAATAATTATTTAAAATTTCCCTGTAAATTTGTTTTTTTTGTAAAAAATAAAGTTGGTAATGGAATTCCAATGTTTCTTTCAAATTCCAGGTTTGAAGTGCTGAGTTTTCTTCTGCTCTGTTACAATGCTGCCTTAAGCTACATGCCTGCAATGTCTCTTCAGTCATTGTGTCAAATTTCTTCAAGGTAATTTCTGTAGGTTGTTTACTCTTGAAATGGCATTACCAGATTGAAGTGCAGTCAGTTTGGAGTTTTTTAAATAAAAATAAGCTTTGAGTTCCCAAAGGCCACTTTTAAACTTGACTTCTTCTGTATGTGTTTACAGCTGCATTATTTGCTTTTAAAGTGTCTCTTACATAACTTTGGGTTGAGATCTCAAAATGGGGAACAATAACCTGGTTTATACACAGGTTAAGCTTCTCCTTTAAGAGGAGAAGTCAAAGAGAACTGTTTGTTTTTAATAACAGTAGTTGTAGTTGTGTTAATTAAAGAAAACCAGAAGTGTCTTGTAGAAGTGCAGTATATTTTGTATTGCAAGTTTGCTAAATAAATTCGGATGCTGTGCAGGTTTAAACTTTCTTGTAATTATAGTAGGTGTTGAAACTAGACATACCTCCATTTTTATGGATACATTGAGCATTTCCAAAATCAGCTGTTGCTTCAAGAAACCAAAATAACAATGGCAACATGCCCCTCCTGACCTCAAAACAAAACAAAGCCTACCTCAGCTTTAATTACAGTGTCTATTTTTTGATCAATATCTTTTTTCAAGGAAGATAAATGGGTAGTAAACATGTTTGTCTCTGGATTTTCAAAAGTGGACTTTATGTTAAGGGAAAAGTTAGAATGCTCTCCTTAACCCTGGAAACCTAAGAGACCAAGAAGATTGTGGAAAGGAGACTGATGTTGCTTATTCTGCTTGATTAGGTTTTGATTGTATTTGGAATAAATAATATTTAAAACATTCAAAAGAACCCCAAGCAAGCTACCAGTAGATGCAAGCAAGTCTTTCTGCTTTCAAAATGTTGAATGTCTGGATACTTAATTATTTAATTCTATACCATTTAACTTCTCTCATTGTTCTTTATTCCTGACTGGTTTTGTCATTCATGTTTCTCTGCTTACTGAAAATTTTACTGTGACAGTAATTTAGAATAGACAGCATGTTAGAATACAGGGAGTATGTGTCAGAAGCCCCGAATATCTTGCAGTGTCCTGTTTGGATGTTGTGAAATCACTATTCTGCTATTTGGATATTTATAATAACTCTTTTTATTGGTTTGAGCAATGGGGAATTTAGGGGGTTTTCTTTAAAACATACAATGAATGCTTTTTATTTCAGTAAATCTAATTAAATTTTTATATTTTCCTTAAATTACAAATATGGATTGTAAATGTGAAAATTACAGCAGGTAATATAGGTTGTGCTGGTCTCAAGTTGTAAATCCAGATTTTTTGCATCTGAGCAGCTACTAAGTCTCTCTTCATCAGAATGTTAACTTACTTGGATGTCATTCTTACATTTTTAGAAGAAGTAACAGAGGGCCTCTAAAAACTGGTCACTACTGGTGAAGTATTGAAAGTCTATAAAGTACAAAGGTGGTTCTACATTATTTACTAATGACAAATGCATGATTTCTTTAGAATTTGTGTCTGTGGATATCCTCGCCAGCAAGTGAGAAAGTACAAGGGAGTCAACTGTAGGATTCCAGTTTCATCTGAATTCATGGTGCAAATGCTAACAGGGATCTATTATGCCTTGTAAGTTGTTTTTTTTTTTTCTAATAGGCGGACAAAATAGAGAAATGCCAGCCTAATTTGTGTACTTGTTCAGACATACTGCCTTGGAGGCATTTAATTTTCTATGGGCAGATGTGTGTAGCAATAAGGGGTCCTTGGGATTAGACAGTTCTCCAAGTAGCTGGATGAAGTTACCTGTGTCATACTGGGGAAAGATTGGCAGAGCAGCATGTGGTAGGTGTAACTGCTGATGGGAAGAAAATATTGTAAAAACCCTTTTCCAGCCATTGTCTGCTATCCACATTTCTACATAGTTAGTTTTGACATCAGTCTAGTTAAGGAAATGAGGTTATATTTTTTCTCTGAAATGCTGATGTCATCTACCTTTTGAAAGTCATGTTAATGTATGAAGCTTACTCAGTAACTGAAAAAATTGGAGACTAGTAATACATAAATACTCAAAAGATGGAGTAATATCAAAAAATCCTGATTGTATTCAGAATATTTTGTGACTAGCTGATTAACAGCTAATTATGTAATTTTTTAATTGCTTGGGGTGGCCAATGAAAATAAAACTTTGTCTCCATAGATGCTATTTCAGTGTTCTCTAATTAGCAGGCTTACTGCTAACAAACACAGTTAATTCCAATTCTTTAAACTGAACTCTCAAGAAACACCAGAGCTGTGAAGGTTAGGTGAACAAGAAGGTTAATCTGTTGACATAGATGCTTATTATTACATATAATTTTACCTTTGCAGTTATAATGGAGAATGGGATCTGGCTCGTAAAGCTATGGATGACGTTTTATATAGAGCACAGCTTGAGCTGTATCCAGAACCTCTGCTGGTAGGTATTTTATTAATTTTTAGCCTGGGAAATCCTTGCTGTAGGCATGCATGATATAAGATGCTACTAGGAATCTAAAGCTGTGTGTGTGAGAGTGTGCAAACACTACACAGGGCTTTTCACTGTACTTAGTTATGATTTCACGTTTCCCTTTTGACCAAGCTGTTTTCAACAGAACACTTGTAAGTCTTTAGAACTAAGCTAATGGTGCAGCAGAAGGAATAGCCACGTCTTGAAAGTGGAAACTTTGTTTTAAGAAAGTGGCAAGTATAAATTCTGAGAGCTAATTGAAACCAGCATTCTTTACAGGCCATGCAAAAATGTGGCATGCTTTTTGACTATAAATTGGAATTATACACATATTTTTCTTGAAATAGGAAGAATCCCTGACAGAATTCTTCTAAAATTTTTACCTTTGTGATAAGAACTTAACTGCATATCTTCTGTTGTAGGTCGCTAATGCAATAAAAGCTTCACTGCCTCAGGTTGCCATGAACTCTACTAAAGAAGGTGCAAGATGCATTCAGGTTGAAATTACACCTACTTCATCCAGAATATCAAGAAATGCTGTGACTAGCATGTCTATAAGAGGGCATAGATGGAAAAGGCATGGTAAGGAATACATTTTGTGATGAATTCTTAGTTTTTTCCTGTTTTTAAAATAATATTGAGAATTTTATTATTTCACATATTTACTACTTATAGGCAAGCAGCAATTTGGAGGTTATTATTTTCTTGACTGATGAGTGAGAATTCAACACAATTCAGATGAAGTATATTCTTTATTTCCTTAACCATGATTAAAAAATAAAACACAGCACACACAAACCCTTTTTGCTAAAGGGAGGTGTACACAATTAGTGCTTTCTTTAGAAAATGATGTTTCTGCTTTCTTTTGAAAACTAGTTTCTAGTACCTGAAGCAAAATAATTATTTAAGAGCTTTACCACAGAACCTCATCTGTCTTAAAGTACTTAAATAAAAATTGGATTTAAGGATAGAGGGGTAAACTACTATCTTTTGGTGTTATAGTTTAAGCCCACAGAACAAGTAAACCCCATACAGGTACTTACACACTCCCTACAGTGGGATGGTGGAGAGAACTGGAAGAGTAAAAGGAGAAATCTTATTGAAATAAAGCCAGTTCATGAGATACAGCAAAAGCTGTGCCTGCAAGCAATGCAAAACAGGGAATTCATTCACCGTTTCCCATGGGCAGGCAGGAGTTCAGCCATGCCCAGGAAAGCAGAGCTCCATCACACCTAACAGTTACATGGGAGGACAAACACCAAATATCCCCCCCTGTTCCTCCTTCTTTCCCCAGCTTTGTGTACTGAGTATGATGTTACATGGTCTGGGATACCCCTTGGGTCAGCTGGGGCAGCTGTCCCCACTGTGTCCCCTCCCCACTTTTTGTGCACCCCCAGCCTGCTCACTGGTGGGGTGGGGTGAGGAGTAGAAAAGGCCTTGACTCTGTGCAAGTGCTGCTCAGCAATAACAAAAATACCCCTGTATCAACAAAGTATCAACACCATTTCCACACCAAATCCAAAACACAGCCCCATACCAGCTACTGTGAAGAAAATTGTCTCTGCTCTAGCCAAAGCCTGTATATTTGGGCAAACTAGTTTAAGGGCTTCCACAAAGCAGAGCACAAATCTGGGCTCAAAAGTCTGAAAAAGTCCTGAATGTACTGCAGAAGTAGCAGTACCAGCAAGAGATTCTGTGAGTCTAAATATTGTATTCCTTCACCTTTGCCATCTTCAGATGAGGGAAGAGCCAGTGGACCAGGGGTCAGAATTGGCAGTTATTCTGTCGGGATTATAATCCTGGTAACGGGCTAAGAGCATGAGTGTAGATAAGAGTGCTTTTCTAATAGGTTCACTGAAGATTTTGTAGTACCATTAAAATTTCTGTATGATATTACAAAGTGAGCTTTTGTTGTATATGTACAGTTAGAAAAATTTTGCTAAGTTACTTGTCATAAATTGACCAAGAGGTAATTTAGGTAAGTGTTGAGAAACAATTGGTGGTAGAACACATTTGTAGTACTAGTACCAATAGTAAGCTGCTAGAGGAGGTGAAGGACAGAGAAGAAAGGTAAAGCAAACAAATTTCATTTCAGTTGATTAAAAACTACTTAAAACCATCAGACAAACCTGAGGAGCAAAACATTGTTGTCTTTAGTGAGATGGAGTAGCAGGTCATTACTGACATCTCAAGGCTGCTAGGAACCATTTTATTTTCCTTTCTTCAGCCTTAAAGTAAATAAGCATGGATTATTGACCAGATTCAAGAAAATGGTATGATGTCTTAGCTTTTAAATGGACAAATGCCCTCTGAAGCTTAGCAATTTTGTTAGCTATTATTTTTGAGTGGTTTTGATATTTGTTTAGATGAGATTGTAGAGGGTAACACCGATCAAGTGCTAGCTCATCCAGAGAAACTGAAAGTGTATTAAAAGAAACATTCCCTTTGTGTTTACAGGAGAAAATACAGGAGACCAAAATGGTACGAAATGAGTATTGAATACATCCTTATAAGAATGCAAAATTTTCAGCAAATACAGAAATAGAGAAATTTCTACAGTTACTGCCTCCTTGCAGGGAGTGTGGCTTGGTGAAGTTCAGGGATGAAAGTGTGTGGCAGGTGTGCCCTGCAGCAGGTAACAGTAAGGTGAAAGGGAAATTAAAATACCAATTGAACTCAGAAGTGCAATGGAATGCTGTGTTTTATGAGAGTCTTACAAAGCAGGACAAGTCGAGAGAAGCAGCAAGAATCTAGTTAGTGTAGTCCAAGCAAGGAGTGAGTCGTCAGTGTTCAGAGATAAAGACTGAAAGATTAAGGACTTGTTCAAAACAGCTCATGCCAACATTTTGTTGGGGTTTCTATAAAAATGTTGGATTTGTCTCACCATACAGGATTTAATGAAAAGGAAGAAAATCACTTGGTATAAGGTGGGTTGGAGTGGAATACATGGCAGGTTGTGGGAGTAATTGTAATTTGAAGGCTATGCAAAGATTAGGCTGATTAAGAGTCCAAAGCTGAATCTGTGGTATCTATCTAAGTGACTGCCAATTGAGTTCTTTTAAATGGTAAATATTCCATGCATAAATCACTTCAGCTAATCTCCTCAAAATTCTCATAAAATCCTAAGAAACCTTTTGTTTGTGACTTGAACAGCCTTTTTAAAGTCAGAGTGGATTGTCTCCCATTTTTAAAATTCTTACTAAACTAATTCAGTGCCACACAATTCCTCAGGAAATAAACATATGAAATACATCTTCATGATTGGCATGCAGAAAGAATAGCAAGGCTTGTGCTTACATGTGCTTGTTCAAATTAAAACGAATACTGGAATTGATAGAAATTAGATGACAAACCTCTTACATCTTGACCATTTTTCTCTCTCTCTCCCTCTCATAGTGTAAGAGGAAAAATGTATTTTGGGGATTATTTTTATTTTCATTATAATAAAATTTAGTGTAAATGGATTCAGAAGTCAGAGGAGACAGCTGAGAGGTACTCAATGTTGTATATTATGTGGACTAGGAGAACTGATGAAGCAAACCATCTCTTGGGGAAGCAAGGACAGCAATTTTCAATCACTATTTATGTGTTTAAAATAAAATAGAACAGCCCCAGTGAATCATATTTCCAGCTGAGAAGCATGGGCTTTATTTTCTTTATATTTTAAAAAATTAATTTTACTATAAAAGTTTTCAGCCATTAGATCTTGCTAGCCTTTACTAGAACTCTAGATTGAAGTCAGTTTTGGATAAAGGTTGACTTAACATTAAATCTTCTTGTGATACTTAACCCTGTAATTTGTTCATTAGGAGCAGTTACTTAGGACTTTTAAAATTCAATTAGTAAGTGAATTTGGACTTCACAGATAGGTACTTTAGAGGTACTAAATGTGAGAGGTGGTTTGCAAAATAGATTAATCTAATCACAAACGGATTTTGTTTATGGAGTGAGCTGATACTAGTCACTACTTAGCAACAAATTATTTAGTGCTGTTGGATTGGATTGCCTATAAATTATCACACCTGAAGGGGAGCATTAGCTCTTGTTTGTAGAGAAATCCTCTGATGTAACAGAATGAGAAAAGCTGACCAGATGTTGGTGCGATACGTAATACAAGAACAAAGACATGAACTAGCAAAGAAGGACAACAAGTTACTTTTTTTTCACTGCAGAAATTGACTTTCATGTAGTATACAAGGTTTAGAAATACTAGTCTTTGAATTCTCTCTGTGGAGAGAATTTTCTTACTTTTTTTTAAACGGTATTAATTCCTGAAATAATTGTAACTTGCAAGATTCTGAAGTTAATGCTAGTCTTAGGTTATAAGCTTGGTGCTTTTATGACTAATTAAATATGCTAACACAGTTGTGCAGGACACGCAGCTTGAGCTTGTGGGGGTTAAAATTGAATTACATTCTGAATGGGCAGTTGCCTGTGCAGTCTGAGGTAAGTTATCTGGGCAACTGTAATAAGGTTGACTATAATTTTGAATTAAGTTTTAGCAATTAGTGAACATGAAATGCATTTATCAAAGTTGGTTGTACTACTCAAGGCATTCAGAAATGTGACACCAAATACATTTTCCTTCAACTGCTTTTTTTTTTTTTTTGTTGACAAACTAACTGACATAATGACATCATTATTTTTTTTTTTTTTTTTACTGTTCAGCAGTGTCTTTGTGTTTTGTTTTGGTGGTTTTTTTTTTTTTTTNTTTTTTTTGTTTTGTTGCATTACTTTGTGCACTGGGCATTAATAGCTCTCTAAGAAAGGCTAGACCTCCAGAGCTGTCCATCTTGAAAGCAGTATTATCTTCACCACAGGCACTATGAAGCTGAAGGTTTGGGTGTCTTTAAAAGCTGTAAAATAAGGAGGGTACACTGCTATGGAGGGTGTGTATTGTGTACTCTTAGCCCCAAGACTGTAGCTGCTGTAGTAGACAGTGTTAGTGTGAGTTTAGGTACCCCATATCCCATTCTTTCCATTAGTTTCTTCCTGTACTCAGTTAAATTCAGAGAAAGGACCTAATTATAATGAGTAAAACTGTTAACTTTTTGGGTTTTTTTTCCCTCAGTTTATTGTAGTAATGGTTACTCAGCTGTGGGAATGCAGCAATATTGGGTGAAGTGCTGATATCACAGCTGGATGTTACATTTAGAAATGCATACCACCAAATACCCATAACTAGGTAATGCTTTTATAAAGAATCTTTTACCAAAAAAAAAGAAAAAAAAAGAAGATATTCTGTTTTTCTGATTTCTGCTGTATACATTGAGTCTTCTTTCTTTGGAGTTGGATAATCAGTGCATTTCTGACAGTTAAGCTCTGTTCTATCCTTTCCTCCCTCTGGGGCATCAGGAAGGAGTTTCAAAAATTGCCATTGGAGAGTCAGAAGTTCCTCACTGGTGAATTTAGGGCATTGAGGCCATTCAAAGCATTGGTCTTCTCACTAACCTTTCTGCCTCTGTGTTTTTAGAAAAAAAAAGGCTATATTTGATGATGCTTTCCTTATAATATTGTTTATTTATTTTTATTACAATTCCAGTTCATGGTGCTCTTTGCCACCTTTACTACTGGAAATAGAAGACTTTTGCAGAAAGTGCTCTTAAAAGTCAATGGTTCTCAAATGGTTATTTTGGGTTTCATCCCAAATATCAGGAATTTAGTGAGGAATACCATCAGTTATTAATGCCATTTCCTTTGGGTGGTGCAACTTGTTAAATAGATACTTTGATTGGTCATTGATTAGTTAGAAAGACTTATTATTAGAATTTTCAGGTAAAATAAGGGATAGCTCTTACACCAGGGGACACTGATGTCCATTCCTGCCCGAATAACCTTCTGGCTCAGTTGTGGTCAGTGCAAACAGCACAAATGGTAGTGAAAAGCCCAGTGCAGGAGCCACCTGACCTAGAAGTGCACTGCACAAGTGAGGAGAGAGGAGGAAGAGGGAATCCCCTTGAATTAAAGAGAGCATTAGAGCTGCCACTGTGAAAAATCATCCCATTGTAAATTCCTCTGGTTTTGGGCTTCATACTGTCAGTTCAATGTGCTGCCAGCTTCTGTCATGTGCAGTAGCAGACTGGCAGTATCGTCTGGGTGCTCCTTATTTAATCATTTGGTCTGAAAGAGCTGCATTATGAATAAAAGAGGGACTCACTTGAGCTTTATTCTGAGCTATGCTTTTAATACATTTTTAGTCTTGTCAAGTTTCTGTGCCACAGTGCTCTTCTCATGTAGTTTTTCTGGTGTATCCAGAAATACCTTTCCAGTTGAAAACAGTTTTTTTAAATGAAGGAAGAAAATGGATATCAAAGTGTTCTTGAGTTGACTTTGTTGTTTCATTTTTAGTTTTCAAGCTGACCAAGGTGCATCATCATGACATGTGTAGATTTTCTAGTCTTGAATGATAATATATGAAGTTTCTATGCCATTTAATTGTAAAAGTAACTTTCATTCTAGCATGGTGATATGGAGAATATAGTCATAAAAGGGAATTATGAGTTGTTCTTTAGTTTCTGATAATCTGTTTCATGACCCTCAGAAATTTCAGTTTTGAAAGATCAAGCATGGGCCTTTCCCGTATATGATGCAGGCCTGTAATTGGAAGATTGAAGACTGCCATTTTAGAAATAAAGCAAAATTCCATACTTGCTAATGTTGCTAATTAACAAGAGGTTAATATGTGTACATCTGCTTTAATTTATAATGCTTAAGTCATCTGTATCTATTGGCTTTTGTTTATGTTTTGTTTATGTTTTGTTTCAGACATATTTTGTTTTTTGTTTTTTTTTTTTTTTTTTTTTTTTTTTTTTTTTCTTATCCATCTTTAATTCTAGAACAACCAGAGAATGGTAATGATGCTACTGAATTGGGCAACTTTATCATACCTGAGATTAGTGTCACAAATGTGGCTGGAGAGAGGACCGGGAATGGGGAAAAGAGCAGAGCTCTAGCAGAGAATGATGTTCAGCATTTACAGGGAGTACAGGAAACAGCTTCAGATCCTAGAACTGACAGCAAAGGCATGCCAGAAATCAGGAGGCAAAAATCTGTAAGAAAAATGATGGAGGATGGAATAAACTCATCTGGCAGAGTGCAGTTTTAGCAGAGCACTTGTAGCTGCACTGTAAGGTACCGCTGTTGATTGAAAGGGTCACTGCTGCATGTTTCAAGAATTAAAGTATGCAGTTAATATATTTGCATGTGTAATAACACAGTTGCATGTATTGCACACAGCTTTGTCTGTGCCACAGACAATGACGACATACTTAAAAGTAGATGTATTTAATCTGGAGAAAATACACCGAGACTCAACATACCTTTGAGTTTATTAAGCATATTTATGTGAGTTTACAAAATCCAGTGATCAATGGTATGAAAAATCCATTACAATGGATGTTAAAAGTATCTTGCTATGTTACTCAGATTTCCCAAATTCTACCTTTCATGGTGTACCTCATGTTGTGCTTAAGTTTCCAACTCTTACCACCAGACCTGTGATGCAGAAAGTGACCTTTCAGTCCTGAAGCATTCTTGGGTTGCTAAACATGCAGGTGCCATAGGGTGTCCTGAGGCATTGATCACATACTTCTGTAATTAACAAGCTTTGCCAAATCCTGTAGTGGATCACTTGCTCAAAATAAGATTTACACTTTTTTTTTGTTCTGTATGGTACTTTCTAATCTCTAAGTTTCTAATTTTCTGCATGAATTAACAAAACTGTATTTTTTCTTTTCCTTCAAAAGCGCAACAAAATGAGATTGGGGGCATGCTTTTTGATATTTTTGATGTAGTTAATGCAGCATTACTTGCTGTAATTCTATGTCCTAATGAACCTTAATTCCAAAATATCATGGAATAGGTAAGCGTTGTCTTCTGTTCTCTGTTCTACTGCTTTATGGCTTCATGCTTATAAATACCAAATTTAACAATATGTAAAAGCAATGAATGTGAGACAGTCAATTGCTAATTTTTTATTTCTGTTTATACCATGCAGATAATTCTGACTTAGCAATTGAAGAAGAACTGATAGAAGTATCTGAAACCGATGAAGGGTTTTACTCTAGGGCTACTTCTGGTACAAGTCAGTCTGCCCTATCTAACAGCAGCACCATGAGCAGCAAGAACCTCTTAGGGAAGAGCCAACGAAGGTCTGGAGGAAGCAAACCTGGAGGAAAAGAAAAAGAAGGGGAAACCTGCAGAGAGCATTTATCACGGAAACAAACTCAGAGAGCCATGAGTGAGAATCTAGAGCTTGTCTCTCTGAAGAGACTGACACTGACAACCAGCCAGTCCCTGCCCAAGCCTGGCAGCCATAGCCTGGCCAGAACGACCACTACTGTGTTTAGTAAATCCTTTGAACAGGTCAGTGGTGTCCCAGTTCCAAATAATCGTGGTGGTGCCTCTGGTACAGAGGCAAACAGGTTTTCAGCTTGCAGTCTTCAGGAGGAAAAATTGATATATGGAACAGAAAGAACAGATCTTCCTATTTTAAGCAAACAACCTAATCAGCAGCGACCTCCTAGTATTAGCATAACTTTGTCAACAGATTGATATTAAATTGGCCAGTATAAAAAATAAATTACTGAGATTTTATCCTGATATTGGTACATTAAGCTCTTAATACGCCATACGTTACTTCCTTAAGTCTCAAATAAATTCTTACTTGGCTCATGTTTGACAGTAATAGTGAATAGACAACAGTTTTAATTATTTTGAGTCAACTTCTGATACTTTTACAGCTTCATGAAAAGTTTATACCTTCACCAGCTGAACAAGCATCAATTGGTTGGTTGTCACTGGCCAAGGTGTGTGGCTTCTTACACATGTACACTGTGGGAACAAATGGAGTGTCTCTCCCAGATTCCAGTTTTTGTCTTCCACTTGGCATAGGCAAAACTGCAAGTACTTAAGGTTTCTAAGGAGGAGTCTTGCAGTATTGTCATGCAATTTTGGAAGAGCATTGTAAAAACATACACTGTCTTACATGTGAGCTGTGCTTACATGTAAATTTAAACTAGAGGCATCACTTCAGTGTTTGGTGTTCTGGTGGCTTTTGTATTGTAGTTAGTACACGTAGCAATGTTCATGCTTCTTTATGCCTGTATAAGTCCAATTTTAGATGCATTTTGGTTTATCTGTATGTCTTCAAAACTGGGCCTGAAGTAATACAGCAGCAGAGCTTGTGGCTGGGAATTATTATCAATTGCTGTAGTAGTCACTTAAGAAGTAAAAATTATGTGACAGATTCTTCCTTTAGGATTCTTAAATATCAGTTCCAAAACTACTCACTGAAAAGTCAGTCATCAGTATTTTTATTGTCTGTAGGGAATAGATGTGCTTGTGTACCAATGTTATGTAGAAATATGAGCCCTTGCACTGACTCAAGCAAATCAGGAGTGTGAATGTGCTTAACAGGAATTTCATGCGTGAGACTAAGAGAATACTACCAAAGGATGTGTACTTTCAGTAATTTGCAAGCACAAAGGGGAACTATAATATAAATATAAGTAGCACTGTAATTCCTAAGGTTTTCTTATATCTATTATTTTTCTAGTTCAAAATTCTAAACCAGCAACCTGTTCAAGGTTTTACCTAACCTTTAGCCTTCAGTGAATTTGACAAAAACTTTTATAATGTTAAGATTTTAATTAAAAATGGACATTAAAACTTCTTAAGCAGAAATCTGAAGAAGCAGTTGCTGACAAAGCCACTCCAGTAGCAGTTTATTAGCTGATGAACACACAATATATTATGAGTGGAGAAGTAGGATGAAGATCTAAGGCATAGTTGCTCCCAACTGTCCAGATTTCTGCAGCTGTTAATCCATTATTGTCAAGAACATTGTAAAAAAACAAACACTAAAATTCTGGTAGACTTTCTCATTTGCTTGGAGGCAAGTTCAGATACTTTTGACTTAAGCTGAAGCACAAGTAACTTTTAAACAGCTAATATTATTCAGGTTTATGGCAATTAATAAGCTGGTTAACTAATGAAAAGAGTAATTAAGTTGTATAATTGTAGTAATAAGACCACAGACTGGATGTGTACATTCCTGAAAATGCACCAAAGTATGCAGAATAACCCCGTGTGTCTGTAGGTGTTCATATTTACCCAAGAGCCTGAATTTAAAGGAGTATGCCACAATTTCTCATTCTTCATTTCGTTGTGTGACACCATTGTCTTGTAGTAATGCAGTACCTCACCTTTTTACAGTGAAGTATTTTCCTAATTTTACATGAAAACTTATATTCCTAATGGATAAACTACACATTTGCCATGTTTATTTTTTAATACTGACCAGTGAGAAAGACTGGTTCTTTGAGGTTGTTTTTGTAAATACTTTCTACAGCAGAAAATTTGGCCTCCTTTTTATAGGCGTTTCTGCAATACACGTTAGTCAGGACATTTGTTTCACATTGACTAATGCATCTGGCTGCTGGACATGCATAACCACGAGCAGCAGCAGGGTGTTAGGCAGCTAATAGTTGGCATTGGTTGTCTCTCCACACAGTAGAGCTCTTCCTTCCCTTGAAATTTGATCTAGATGTTGCAAAGAAATAACCTGCAAAGCTTACAGCAGTTTCCTAATCCACTTTTGCAGTGTAGGATCTAAAGAACACATTAGAAAAAATTAGCAGTAATTTAAATTGACATAAAATAGATAAATAAAACTGCAGTAGACAAATATTTGTTGTTATGGTATTAGTTGTGAGGTAGTGTTGAGGGGCTAGAATTTTTGAGAATTCTGCTGGTTTTGCTTTGTTTAATTTAATTCATAATTGTTTGTTACCTCCATGGTAGACACTCTTTCAAGGTGGGTGTTGGTATAAAAGATATTTATTATACTGGGAAGATTTAGCTCTAAATAATTAGGATTTCAAATTAGGATCTAAAATGCCATAAAGTGTAGATATGTAACATAAAGTTTTCAGTACTCTTGGCTACAGGCCAAATGGTGTTAAAATGAAGTTTGTTTATCCTTTTTTTACCCAGCTGGTCTGGCTTGAACCCAAGACATAGGCTCATAGTCGTACAACTGAAATAACATAAATCTTCATACTTTTTTGAGAAAATGATGAAAGGTTCTTGGTACTAAAGACTGTTCTGTCCATACATATGTGGTGTCATATAAACATGTTTGTATTGGTCTCTGGAGTAACTTACCCAGTGATGAGTGTGTTTTTGTGAGCTGACATTCATACTGATCGAGTCTAAAGAATTTCTTTCCTGAGTACCAAAACTTTGAGTTGTGCTTCTTTCTTCTCTTAAAAAATGAAAAGTTAAAAAAAAAAAAAACAAAAAAACACAAACCCAAAACCAAAAGGCACAAGGGAGAGTGAGGGCAGAATTATTTGTTGACCAAATATCCATGGTGCAGGATTAGGAGAGGGGTGGGAAGAGTGATGAGGGAAGTAGGGCAGGAAGCAGACATTTCTAAAATTGTCAAACTCTGGGGGTTTGAGCATTATCCAATCACTTCAGACCATCAGATGGAAAATCTTTGTTAAAGAAGTAGATGTCTTCTAACAGTGTAAAGGAAACGCATTAAGACACCACATATTACAGTGTGCTCAGGAGTGATGAATACCTTCCAAACATACACAGCTGCACCATTCTGCAGGGAAAATGTTATGTAGGAGTGAATCATCTCACATTGTAATAAGAGAAGTTGTTCCAATGCTGACGTTTATAACTGACCCTACTGTTCCAAATCATAGGGCATTGTTTCCAAGGATGGCTTTGAACAGCAACACTTGCAAAACTCATTGAAGCTGAGAAGAATTATTTTTGTTGTGAGAATATGTAACATTTGTGCAAAAAATGTATGGCCTCTAACCACTTGCTGTAGAGCTGCAGTGACATTTCTGAGTGGATTTAAATGTCTTGAATTGCCTTGATTACCTAACAAATTTGAAAGGTACAGAAATAGAGCTATTTTAGCCACACTTCTCTCTAAGGAGGTTTCCTATGAGAAATTCTAGAAATTTCTAATATAATTGTCCAGTACCTTTGTTGGTGTTTGAGGCTGTATATAGATGTAAAATATATTACATTTTGTATTTGTATAATTCTACTTCTAAGACTAGATGTGCACATTTGATATTCCCTGAAGTCTGTGGAATATCTGCATCAGTCTATGGATGTATGTCTTTCACATCAAAACCTGAATTTAAGCAACTAACACTCTTTCTTCAGCTCATTATGTGACACTGTTTGAGAAACACAGTTTTTCACCTTTTTTGCAGTAAAGTGTTCTCTTGATTGTACATAAAAACTTACATTCCTAATGTATAGGCTACAAGATTGTCTTTTTAGTGTTTAATAATTTTGGCAGTAAAATAAATTTGTGTTTTTGAAATTGTATGCTTTTGTAAATACTTTGTACAGCAGAAATTTTTGCCACTTTACAGACTTTATTGAAATACACATTACATAGCTACATATTTGTTCAGTTTTCATTCACATCCAGAAGCCATAGTAAGGTTGACTGCATTACTTAAAATATGCTGAATACGTATTTTATACAACATAGGGTCTGCAAATGCAGCCCTGTCAGGGGGGACACCATGGCTGAGAAACGCTGATGGGTGAAGGGCGAGTTCTAGCAGTTGAGTTCCAAACTGGCAGAAGCAGATGTCAGTAGAGCAGCACTACTTGGGCAGATTGGTAATTCTGGTGGTGTGAATATTAACAGTAGTTTGATACACATTCATTATCTGCACTGTGTCCAGGGTAGCTCAGGGATTGCTCTTGCTGGGAACAGCAGAAGCAAAGGTGGCAGTCGGTACCTTGGCCTTTTCTGTCAGCAGCTCCTCTGCCCCACTCAGCTGCAGTGCCTTTTCTTCCCCTAATCTTCCTGTTGTTGATGATGTCTCTGCTGAATCTTTTTTCCCCTTGCCCTTCACCTTCCTTGCCATATGCCACTTAATTTGGGGGTTGTCTTGTGGGGGTTATCTACCTGTGCATGCTTGGATGGTGCTTCTCCCTGGGTCACCTGCTCTTGCTTCCACCTCTTGTATGCTGCTTTTTCCTAGTCCGGAGCTCCTGCTTCATGCTTCCATGCCTTCTGCCACCTCTGCTTGCTTTTCTGTGTGTAGCCATAGACCATTCTTAAACCTGGAAGAGGTGGTTCTTGAACATCCTCCAGCTCTCCTGGGCCTTTCTCTCTAGGATGGTTTCCCATGGCCATCTGCAGAGAAACTCCTGTGCAAGGCAAGCTCTGTTCTGTAGCTCCAGGGTTTTTTTCTTTTGCCATTACAAATGTAGTCTCTGGTGCAATACTATAGAGAAATCTGGTTGAATGAAAGAGCTGTAGTAGAGGGCAGCAGTGGGAGATCTCACTGCATAGTTTCCTAATTTTTGGATGTCAGCATTTAACCTGCGTCTTGAAAGGACAAAACTCAATTTCCCATCATAAATGGGTAAGAAGGGAAATCTGATTCCAAGCATTGGAGTAGGTAAAAGTTTTCCTTTGCAAAAGGTACAAATTAACTTGATGCTGTGATTGTCCTGTAAGTGTGTAGGATTTGGATTTCAGTTAGTGAGTGAAAGGCAGTGTTTAAAATGGGCTCTTACATTGTTTCAGGATCGAATAGCTATTGATTAGTGGAAGACAACATGGATTTCAAGAACTTTTCCCAAAATACCCAAAATATGGTACTCCAAAATACTGCCTGTATTTGAAGGATGAGAATATAGCTGAGAGCTTGCTGGGCAATTTATGGGGAAAGGGGTTTTTGAAGGCATTACAGGCAATTAGTAACAAGTTACAGAAATAACATTTGTTCCTACAGACTTCACAGCTGGTTGCCTGCACTGAGCTTGTAATAGTTGTTTTTCATATTTTATGTTAATCTGGCTCTGTATTAAAGATGACTTCAGTATGGGGGTTTTCTCCCAGCCCACAGCTGCCAGGTAATAAATACACCTGCTAATTCAGGGTAGTGGGAAGAATGTCACTGTGAAACTCCAGAAGCCTTTGTGAAACAAGCCTTCACATTGCACGGTGCTCGCTTCGTTAGCTTGATTCCTAAAATAAGGTTGTGTTTAGTCATCTGTTACTCTACATGTGCAGGGACAATACAGAAATGTAATGGTGCAGAAGGACTTGTGGAAGTCAGTCTGAGTCACACAGCACTTCTGACAAGCTGCCTGCTTGTTGTTCTCATCAGTAGTGCTGACTAATACTGGCAGTCCCCCACAAAGACTTGCTTGGTCTGGAGTATGATGGTAGCTTTTGTGCTGCGAGAGGGCACGTTTCAGGGGGGATAAGAAATGTCATTTCTGCTTCCACAATGCACAACAAAGTAAATGAAGGTGTGTCACGTATTGGTGTGAGAAGTCCTTGGTGTGGATATAATTTATGCAATACAAATAGTCAACCAGAATAATGAATGTTCAGTACTTTCTCTGGTAAGATACTTTCTTCATGCATGAATTTATGGAATCACAAAATGGTTTGGGTTGGAAAAGACCTTAAAGATCATCTGTTTTCAGTTCCCTTGCCATGGGCAGGGATGCCACTCACTAGACCAGGTTGCTCAGAGCCCCATCTAACCTGGCCTTGAACGCTTCCAGGGATGAGGCATCTGCAGCTTCTCTGGGCAGCCTGTTCCAGTGCCTCACCACTCACACATAAAGAATTTTTTCCTAATATCTAATGTAAATTCACTCTCAGTTTGAATCCATTACCTCTTGTCATGTCACTAAATTCACTTGTACATGATCTTTGATTTCACTGAATCACTGAATCATTTAAAAATTACATATAAAATGTGTGTGTGTGTGTGTGTTTATTTTACACATTGTTTTCAGCTATCAAGATGCAGAGATTGTAATACTGCCATGCAGACTGCCAGAGCTGGCAAAACATTGGACCCGCACTGGTGTCAGTGACTTTGGATACACGTAAAGTAGATGTAGCTATGCAGTGAAAGGTTGTATTGTCACCTGTATATTTTCCTTGTGGTTTTAATTGCTAGCAGTAAATTGATTAGAGTATAAATTGTAAAGGCTCTTGAGGTTATTCCTTAAAGATATTTTTTTTAAAAAAAACACCATACTCCTATTTTTTCATTTTGCTTTTTTAGTTGGTAAAATGCATTGTGTTTTCGTTAATGTTAACAACCTGCAGTTCAGACTTCAGGAATAATTGGGAGGGAATCAGGACAGTATTATATATGATAACATTTTGTGAACCAACTGTCATACCAAATGTCATCTTTCAGCAGACTGTCGTACCCCTCAAATGTTGGTGTGTAAGAAATATGCTATAATAAATCAGTAGAACTACTTTCAGAAGGTAATATCATTGATATGTCATTTACTTGTTAGTTCATTAGGATTCATATTCCTCATTTCAGCCATTAGAAAATACCAATCCAATACTCTTTAACAAAAGGACTGATTTCATCTCTCTCTCTTTATTGACTGGTGAAAGATAAAGGCACTGTCAAACTGATTCAGGACATCCTGAGTTAGGAAGACCTTTTCTGACACCCACGAGGTGTATATCCCATGTCTTTCTCCCTTCTCACCCTGAACAACTGGTTTAGCATTGCTGCCTTCCTACTGATTCTGACTGAATCGAATCCCTACATTCCCTTTTCCTGCTGAATTAAGCCAAAAGAAGCTTTAGCACAGCATCAGTGGCTTCAGCAGAGCTCTGAATGTCAGCAGCTGTCCCCTTTGCTTAAGACCTTACAAGCAGGCAGATGTCTAGGAAGAATAGATATGGTTTAGTGGTTCTCTGGCCAGGCTGTAAAGATCAGCCTGAAATAATGTGGACAGGTGCTGGGATTTAGGATTCAAACAGCATCTGTTCAGATTATATGACTAATCATGAAGTTGTTGCATTTTCAGCCATTTTCAAATGTCTAAAGTAGGGGAGGAAAGAAATAGAGCACAAATCTCTCTCTCATTCTCATTTCTGCTGTTATTGCTTTATGATCCCACTTAGAAGTATGCAATACCTTTACCAGCTTTTGAATTTTCATGTGGAATAGCAGCAAGGCTGTTAAAGCTTCCTTATAAGTGGATGGTACATGTTCAGCTCTAGCTGAGTCCTTTGACAAATCTTAATTCTTAACTATATGGTTTGGGAAAGAGCCCCTTGACTGTCTTGCATACTGTATCAAATTCAAATCTTTAAGCTTCCTTGGTTATCCATGAGAACTTGCTTTATCCTGCTGCCAGCGTAGGAAGCCATGCTACAAAAACACTGAACAATTCCTGCTAGTTCCCTGCTTTGGCATCATTGCACAAAATAAAATACGCTTATGGACAAATACGAAATTGCTGAGCAATCGATTTCTCCAAGATCCAGACTGCATGACCCACCTTTTTCATAAAACCTGGCATGTGTGATACGGACTGCAGCACGATACATGGGCCCCCTTCTCCATGAATGGTGGGTGTTGTACCTGAGGAGCCATACTGCATGAAAAATGGTGGTGTTTGGGAGCACAGAGAGTTTTGACGCATTCTGGTAATGGTGAGATGAGTAAATTCTTAAATACCCCAACAAAATTAGTTACTAGGTAAATCTACTCGTAAGGTAATTGATGGTGTAATTCAATTTCAGGCAGAAAAGCAGTCCCTTGGAAGAATTTTGATTTGCTCTTGAGAGACTGAACAGTTTTAATATGCCTTGACATTCAGTACCACGTACACAATCCCTGTAATTATTCCTTCCTACTCCAACAAGAGTAGGCTGTGTACAGCACAAGGGCTGAGGGATAGTTGTTTCATGCTTGAAAGGAGGAACGTGTCACACAAAGCACGCTTTGTACTGAGCTCTGGGAAAAGAGGTGAATGGGAGGCGAAACCAGAAGCTGCAAGAGCAGTTCAAAATGTCGCTTCCTCTCTGCCTGTTTCTGGGGCCACTTTTGTATGAATGAAGAAACTGCGCAAAATGAGACACACATAAAGCTGAGAGCTTTTGGAAGAAATCTCTTCTCCCCTGATTCCATCCTGACTGCAAGGGCGGGCATCTTCCCGTCAGGCAGAACTTGTGCTGTGGCATTCTGCCCCTTCCCTGCCTCTGCTTCCTTTTTGGGAAGGAAGTAAAGTGCTGGAACTATTACAGTAAAAAATACAGGGAATTTAGTCCTGAAACAACCTACCCCGGGACTAGAAGAACATTTCTGGGCAGCACTGGTGGCTGCACTCCTCTACGTAAGCTTAAGTGCTGATGACTTTCTTGTCATGTTTGCTGCCAGGAAATATATGTCTGGTACCTTTTGGAAAGCACAAAATGAAATGTTCAAAGAAGATTTAGCCGAAGGATTGAGTCTCTGGCATTTGCCACCTTTGGAATGAGAGGAAAATTCTGTGGAAAGTTGGCATTTAACATAAAATTAATT